TTTTTCAAAGGAATGTCAATGATCTCTAAAGCATTGATCACCTCGTTGAATTCCCTCATGCTTCTAGTTACTCTTCCCTCACTAGATTTTTCTACAGGGGAGCGGACCACATTAAAATCTCCACCTAAGCACCAATCCTCCGAACAGAGCCCACAAAATCAAAAAGCTCCTTCCAAAAACCATCCCTATTGCGACTAGAAGAGGGACCATACACACCCATGACCCAACCACAAAAACCTTGACAATAGCGAATTTTTAAGGAAATCGAGAACACTACCAAGATGGAGTCCTCTATCGCAATGGTATCTTCGTTCCACATAATAAAGATGCCTCCCACAGAGCCTTCGGCATCTAACGCAACCCATCCAATCCTACATAAACTCCAAACTGCCTTTACCACCTTTCTGTCAACTATTGCCAGCTTGATCTCCTGGAGAATAACCAAGTTAGGATCTACTTTTAYAAGGAAATCCTTGATGAGCACTCTTTTAGGAGGGGCACCCATACCTCTCACGTTCCAAGAAATTATCTTCATGTATCAACCTGAGGGCCCTCTTCTAAACTATTAGCCGCCATAATATCCTCCTCTACCTCCTCTTTCCACAATTTCTATTGGGCCCAAACCTCCATAGCTTCTTTCTTTTTTACCGAACTACCCTTTAAAGTTGCTTTTGAGGATGTTGGTCTAATGCACACATTAYTTTTTCTTAAAGCTACCACCATCTTACACGAAAAAAGGAACTCAATCCCCTCCTCATCAGCTAAATCCGCATGACTATCCTCTTCTTGTTGAACTATTTTTGTACTACAAAACAACAAGTGCAGCGGGATGTTCCTAAGACGGAGCCAACCTCCATAAGAAGGGACTACAGTAGTTCTACCATGACGTAGGGGACTCCACGCTTCCATGCGAATAGTTAAAGAGCCAAATGTCACCCAACCTTTGTTCATGGTTAGCAAACGAGCCAACTCTTCTGTTAGGCATTTCAACAAGGCTTTATCGGCCTGAAAGGGGTTGATGATAAAATTTTCCTTCGTCTACTACTGAATAAATTCAAGGATTCTGCCTCATCTATTGTGCAAGTCCCTCCTAATCACCACTAYTGTCGACTTCCAATTCACCTCTTTTACTTCCTGTGGYAAAGGGGTTGATGATAAAATTTTCCTTCGTCTACTACTGAATAAATTCAAGGATTCTGCCTCATCTATTGTGCAAGTCCCTCCTAATCACCACTATTGTCGACTTCCAATTCACCTCTTTTACTTCCTGTGGTATAGGAACGTCGTATGTTGAAGCCTCTGTCCCTTTAAGTGATTGTGAGGAGCCTCAAACTATACCTGCAAAAGGACCAGAAATTAAACATTTACCTTGGGCTTTATTGGGCGTGGAGCACTTGCCGTTCATAACCACAAGGATCAGAGCTTTGAAAGTGTCCCAGCCTTTGGCTTCAACCCCTACCGAAACAACCAAATCCTTTTTCCCCCTCCATTTAGGACTTTGGTGWTTTCTACAAAACTCCCTCTTTTGTTCGTTGTCTTTTGCATCCATATGAAGCCATCCCTACCTGAGAAGCACAGACGCTGACACGCGACACGGATATGACTCGACACGAACACGGCGACACGTCAATTTTAAAAAAAGTAGGATACGACACATTGGGGACACGTTAATTTTATTTATATATATATATAGTATTTACCTACTTAAACAAAAATGACTTAAATCATTTAGAGAAAAAAATAAATATTTTAGGTATGGTTTAAAAATTAAGTCAAATATAGTGGTCTGACTTAAACAATCCATATATCCTCCATCTGGCAATTTGATGTCATGCAGTGGGAGGAGTCATTTAATGCTTGTAAGTTATCCTAGCCTTTTCTTCTTTTAATCATGTTTTTTCTTCTTCTTCCATGTTTATTCYGTATTTTCTTCTTCCTCCCATCCATCATTTCTTCTTCTTTTTCTTCTATCTTTTCTTCTTCTTCTTCCCTTTTTATTCGGTCTTTTCTTTTCCTTCCCATTTGACTCTTCTTCTTCTATTAGATTCTGATCCTCTACTTAAATGTAAGATTTTGTCTCCAGTCTTTAATTGTTAGGTTTTTTTACTTTTCTTCTTATTATTTTTATTCTTCTTCCCCGTCTATTCTTCTTCCAAATATGTTTCCAAAGCGTGAAGGTTGGAGGAAGGAAGCAGCTTCTCTTCTTCGTTGGTGGGTAGCTAGGTAGGGTAGAGTTGTGCTGTCTTTTCAGTTTTCTTTTTTCTTTTTTAAGTTTTGGGTCTCTTTTCAATATTTTAAGGGCTGGTCAACGTGTTCCGACGTGTCGTCACGTGTCCCAAGCATGTCTTGGGCGTGTCCGAGATATAAATAAACAAAAAAAAAGAGGGACACGCAAATAGGCGTGTCGGACACGTGTCTGGAGCGTGTCCGACACGGACACTCCACCTAAAATGGAGTGATCGTGCTTCCTAGATCCCTACAATCGGTCTTCCAAAAAAACTTCTGGGTAAAAGGCGCAAGCGAGAGCTCCTCCAAACCGTCTACTAGCCAAACCGCTACCATCTCTTCCACTGAAATTGTAAAAGCTTTCTTAATATAGGTCTCTGTAATTTTGAAAAATATGCCCCTCTTCTCCGAGTCAATGGGATAGGAAAACCATTTGTTTTCGATCTTCACCAACCTACTACGATCCATCTCAAACACACACACCGAGAGGGAAGTTATCGGAGGAGAACCACATTGTCGGAATGAACAGTCAGCTCGGCAGGAGAGTGAAAGTTGAAACAGAGAGAGTGAGACTTCCATCAGCCCACAGCGAAGCCCTAGTCGCATATCTCCACAATATTCAAGCTCTATTTTTAAGCTGCCAGCCTTGAGGTGCTTCTACAACCCAAATCATTCACCTGCCTCAGCAAAAATGCAGACAAGCCACAAAGCCAACATCGAAACACACGGTTTTGATCTTTCTGGACACGTGAAGCATCCAACTTTGGAACCTAAGGGGRCTCTATACTCTTATATTTTCATCTCTCAAAAATGCAAACTTTATAATTTTCCTTCTCTTCTCTTCTTTTTTCTTTTGTAATATTCTTATACTTTTAATAGACCCCTCTCCCCTATACAATCATATGATACTTTAAACTGTGAATTAATTCTTTTTTTATTGGGACTTTTAAAATATTTTTTTATAAATGTAAAGGGAGGTAATGTTGTTGGTTATTCACCTACATAACATTTTTCTCCTTCAATAAATGACGAGTAGAACCTGCGCTTAATTAGTACTCATTCATTACTAACCTCTGCTAAATGGACTTCTTAATCTTGTCTAAGTTAACCTTTCTTTGGAGTATACTGTCTGCCTAATAGAACTTAAATCATGAATCATATCATGGGATACCTTGAAATCTCAAGTTCGAGTCATGCGTTGGTCATAGTGTTGCTCAGCCTAGACAAGGAGCCCTAGTTATAGAAATCTACTAGCATAAGCCACACAGCATCGATTATGAGAAATATATATATATATATAGAGAGAGAGAGAGTATAGAGGAGAATGGTTGCTAAAGACAACCAAACATTACTCTTGTCCTCTTCCAATTTTTTTTTCCAGGAAAGGAAAAGGTGTATAGAGAGGAACTAGAAAGCTTGTTTGGGTATCTTGGGGGATAATGTGTCTTGAGTTTCCTAAAAATGAGTTGAGAAAGAGTGGATTCGCTAGGCCTATGAGGGAGTTTAATAGGTTTATCAAGGATTGAAACCTACTAAATCCCCCTTGCCCTTGGCGAGCTTGTTTGGGTTGTGACATGGTCATGTTGGTGTCACAGGGAACACTAACGTGTCTAAGTTTCTTAAGAAAAAAGTTGCACTTTGCCTATGAGGGAGTTCGGTTTATCAAGGATGGTAACCTACCATATCTCCCTTGTGAATGGTAGGTTCACTTCATGCTAGGGTTGTGTGTGGTAAATTGTTGTCGGGAGGGCGGATGGATGAATTTTAATAGGTAAGACAATCTTTAGGTCCTAAAATCACTTCCAAGATTTGTTTGGATGTGTTTTTTTTTTCGCTCTTGTATATTTTTTCATTTCTTGTCCATGACACCTCAATTTCTTATAGATATAAAAAAAAAATTGTTTGGGTGTGGAACCTAGTTCATGGGACACTACCCTTTTAGGTTTGATAATACATTGCTTACATATCCTTATTTTAAGTTTGTCTTCCGCTTCCTGGTGGGGGATAAATGTTGAGGTAATTGAGAGAGATTCGATTAGTCCATACTAAAATATTGGAATCGCCATGTCTTTAGAGATATCAATCAATCGCCATGTCTTTAGAGATCTCAATCTTATGATACCGAAGGTTCTAGGTTGAATTAGATGCTCAGATAGCTTAGATAGGGACAAGAGACCTCAATAAGATGTTAAGGAAAGAGTGCCCCCAAGGGACAGTCCGTTAGGCAAGGGCTTAGGGTTTCTTGGTCATACTGGTTTAGAGATCTCAAGTTCGAACCTTCCAGTGAGCTTAATACCAAAAAACTTTTATGTCTCCTAGGTTCGGGCTTTRGGGCGAGCGTGGGTTCTCCTAGGTTTGGGGAACAAAGCTCCGACCCYAGTTATCCAAAACAAAGAAGTTAAGGAAAGAGTGAGTTGGAGTGCTTTTGTAGTGGACAAAGTTCTACAATAATCCTTCCGTTTGTTCTTAACTTGGAGGACTTCTTTTTGTAGTCTCTAGTTTTGGTTTCTTTGTCCAGGCTCCCTTTGTAATTGACGTTTCTTCTTTTTTTGTATTGCATTTTTTATTCTTTCATCCGTCTGAACAAGGAAAAAAMACAAGCATGTCTGCTTTTGAATCTTTGGACAACAACAAACCTTAAACTCAAATAAAATATAAATATCTCAAGAATATTTTCTCCATAACTTCCTAAGCTGCCATCCTTCTGAAATAAAATAATCAGCATCCCTTGTTGTTTTGAAAACAAATTCTTGAATATCATTGTTGCATTGTACCTTTAATTTCTCTTTCAGAAAATCAGCTTCAGAGAGAACGTTTCGTGACTCCCCCTCCAAACGTTTGAGGCAGGCTTCATATGCCTTAATGTCCCTGTTCACATCTTCAACCTCCTTATCAAGCTTATCAGACAAAATCCTCATGCATTCCAGGCACAAAGGCTGCTCAACCTAGTTAGACAAACAGAGGCATACAGTTTAGAACTACTTTCACCAAACATATCAAGAAAACAAATCAGCCACTACATTACTGGCCGAAATGAAACTGACAAAAAACATTAAAGTTCTTGAGCTTTAGATTACCTGAGTTTGAGTTTTAGCAATCTCAAAAGCACGTTTCAAGATAGTTATTGTGGTGTGAAACCCAGAATTATTTGGCTGCATTGCCCCATCAGGCGATGGTATATGCATTCCACCTCCATCAGATGGAGATTCATTCTTATACACAACTACAAATGACTCTTCCATAGCCTTTCCGGTTTGTCCCATGTCAGCCTGACCAGCTCCCTCACGAGGACGATGAACTCCTTGTGATTGGGGCCTCTGCTTTGGCAACACAACATAGGAATTATCCATGCGTGTGGAAGCCAACATGCTACTAGCCCCATGAGCTGCAGACCCCTGTATCCCTGAACGTGTTTATCACCAGAACATATTAATTACAAGAAGCATACACCTTGCAGACAGAACATTAAACTAACCTTCAGACATGCTTTAGTACTTAAAACCCCAGAGGGTTAACTAATTCTCAAACTGTCCAAATGTAAATCATCAAACTTAAAATAACATTAGCATCTTCTCTCCTCTTTTTTAGTTATAGTAAAGGTTATAACACAAAGTTCTTCAATAATTTAGGCCACAGTCTCTCCCGTGTTAATTTTTTATAATTCATGGCCTAAATTCACAATACGCACCCTGTATTCGATCAACTTCAAATTGCGTAGCCCACACTGTCTGTTAATGGAGCTAGAACTATTTTGCCAAAATTTTTGTAAATTACCCCGTTATACCATGCAATCGATTTACACCATCTAAATTATAGCACCACAATCTTACGTAAATGACTACAGAAATCTAAAGTAACTAAAGAAAATACAACCTAGATACCGAGAGTGCAAAAGTATAATATTAACAAGAAGAGTACAGAACTTCACCGGACCGAGCAGAGGAATCGTTGATGAACTTATCAGCATGGGTGTCAACGCCAACGAAACATAAGGACTGGCCGCAGTTCTGGCAGCCAAATCGAGGAAGATTTGGATCCGCCAGAAATGTCCGACCCGATTTGTCGCCCATCGTCCGTCCCTCTACAATTGGATTGATTCTAATGTGAAAAATGAGGTGTTTTGATATTTATCCAAGCCCTTGCGTGGAAGCACAAGAAAACCAATGAGGCGATTCCAGCTGTGGAATAATGAAGTTAATTTAATATAATTTAGAAAATAAAAATAGTTTATTTTAAATTGATCTGATTTTTAGATTAATCTTTAGTGTTGTTATAAATATTACAATAATGTAGATGTCCATAACATCCCATAGATTATACGTAACATCAACAGCATCTCAGACAAGTTTGATAAGAGAATCACATTGTTAACTAGGTACAACTTTAGAAAGAAACATACCATTGCAGCACTCAAACTTATAAAAATTAAGARCATCAAAGGAAATTTACATATATATCGAACAATATTAAGTTCAATGCAAACAAAGAAACTTATAAGTAACATGCAGTACAAGAAAAGATTAGGAGGATATGACCAGACCAGGATTGTTAGACCTTTGATTACTGAAGAACTATAGCCTCTAAGAATAAAATATACTCTCGAAATCTATAAGAGAGCTCTGATGCCTTACAAAGTTACAAGAGATCATTCGCCACAATGTAATATGCTTTATTTATGCCCGACCTATGCTCTTCGTTTTAAACTACAACTTAACACATTATTTGCACACAATTCTTTGTGCAAGCAAAATGACTCTAAATGACTATATTAATTCTTTGATAACAATTTGGTTTTTAGTTTTTGGTATTTCAAAATTAATTTTGTAAACACTTCTTCCACCAATAAGTTTCTTTGTTTTTGTTATCTACTTTCTTAAAATATTTTCAAAATCCAAGCCAATCATGAAAACTAAAACCAAGAGTTTTAAAAAACTAGTTTTTATTTTTGAAATTTGGCAAGGATTCAAATGCTTTTTTTAGGAAAAGGTGAAAACTGGGGAGCGGGTGCCCCTGGTATAGGGGAAGGGGAGCAAAGCTCCCACTCCCCGTTTTCAAAAAAAAAATGGTGAAAACTATAGTAACTAAATTGTGAGAACATAAACACAATTTTCAAAAACAGAAAACAAAAAACTAAATCACTATCAAAGGGGCCTAAATAATCTTTTGAATGATTTTACAGCTTAGTTCCATTCTCATGTAAACAAGCCACAAACTAAAATAGATTTAGAGCCATGAGTTCAAGCCTCGATAGCTAGCAGAAACCCAACTAATATTTAGGCGTCTACATTTAATTAGTCAAATGTCAAGGAAACCAACATCCTCGAACCTCAAGGTACATGACTAGGTACAGTACAAGCACAAGACAAAAAGATATATATAATAAAAAGAAAGAAATATAGCTAASAATCCGGGTTGTAAAATATAATTTTAAAAATTACATACCCTAAACATATAAAATTGAGCTGAAGAGTAAATGAACAACATACAGCACGCCAAAGAAGAAGAGTGCAAAAAGTAGGATAGGGGTTGAACAGTCCAAGAACAGAATATCAGGCCCAGTAATACAGAAGAGCAAACAAATAGAAAGAGCATCATTCGAAATACCTACAAAGGAGCAAATCTAAACTAACGAACTCAAACTTACTCTAATTAGACCCAAATTAAGCCCTAAGCCAACAGATCCAAAATTGTGGGAGAATTTTAAAGCACAATTAAACAGCAAATTAATCTAACCTGGGACGCAAGGCATTAAGGGTATTTGATAGTTTAAGTCCGAAGAGGTTTGTTACTAATGATCTGACTTGAGAAGAGTGTGGGTTTCAAAATCTGAGGTGGTTCGAGGTAGTTTTGCAGAGTTCGATCAGGTCTGGAACAGAGGGTGAAGTTGTCGCCACGAGGTCGTCGCGGCGCCGCACATCGAGAGTTACGCCACCGCTCGTGCTGGAAGCTCGCCGGAGTTATGGTGATCGCTTGGATCTCGTTGGCTGGGCGGAGATCGTACGTGAGGGTAAATGGAAGGAAGAAAGAGAGAGATCCTATTTTTTTAATCCTAATTTCTAAAGGAAATTGGAGAAATTTTAGGTTTTTGGGACTCAATAGCCATTTTGCTGGGTAATTTCTTTTAATAACGCGTTTTTTTACTTATTTTCAAAATAATGGTGGTTTAAATAAAATTAAATAAAAAATGTATTTTTCAAATTTATTCCAAATATAATATTTTTGAAATTATTCCGCCACTTGGTCGTCTCTTGAAGTCATTTTCAATATTTTATCATCTCTGGAAGAAACAACTTTAACTCTATTAGCATCACATGTGATTTTTTTTTTTAAATCAGATATCATCTCGAAGAGAGACAATCATCTGTTAGCGCATATTGTTTTTCGAAAAAAAAAGTAAAGTATTATAATATTTTATATATTAAATAATAGTATTTTATTTTAAATTTTAGACAGTAGCGCATTGGATGCAGTGTGAAGGGTTGCCTTCCTTGATTGGTCTTAGAAAATGCATTTTTTTTACTATTCAACTTTTTACTTATTATTATTGTATATCATTGTATTTTATATAATATTATTTATTATATATATTTTATTATAAATAATATGTATAATATATAAAATATAGTTATTATAGTTTTCAGTAATAATAATAAAAGTAACAAAAAAAATTGAAATAAGGCTTGAACTTTTGAACTCAAGGAAACAAGATGAGGCCAGATCCATGGCGCCAAAACTAGTTTTAAGTTTATTGTGCTAATAATATTTTATTTTTTTCTAAAAAATCAACATCGATGTAGTCGTCTGCGCGCCAATAGATGGTCGTCTCTTCAAGAGACGATCATGTCTTGATTTTTTTCAAAAAAATCAGACATGGCGCCTAAAAAATCAGACATGGCGCTAATAGAACCTCACGTCCTATGGTCGTTTCTTCAGAGACGACCAAATGCTTAAAATTGCATGGTCGCCTTTGAGACAACCAAGTGATAGAATAATTTCAAAAGCATTGTTTTTTTAATAAGTTTGGAAAAACGCATTTTATATTTAATTTTACTTAAACCAGCATTATTTTGAAATTAAGTTTTAAAAAATAGCATTATTAAAAAAAAGACACACAACACATACTCATTTTTACCCCTTTTTCTTTTAATCTTGACATCACCTGGATAACAATATCAAATGGTTCTTGCTGCCCCTTCACTAATTTTTTAGATTTCTCTCTTGTTTTCTCTCTATCTCTCCCCCTTTTTCCATAAATTTTTTTTCTTTCTTTTTATTTTTCCATTGACTCATTATTTCTTTGTTTTYTCTTCCTTCTTTTCTTCCATTTTTCATTGTTCCCTCTTTCTCTCTTCCGCGACCAATGGGTTTTTTCCTCTCATTCTCTCTCAAAATTTCTTGGGTTTCTATTTTCCTTCTTGTCTCTTTCTCACTTTTCTCTAATTACTATTATTCTCTTTCTTTTTTACTCACCACAAAAAAAAAAAAACAATCCATTCACAAAAAACCGTAAATCTCTCATCTCTATCCTCCATGAACCACCACTCCTCCTCCCTCCTMTTTTCTTTCTTTTTATTTCTTTTGAAACAAGCAACCCTCAAGCCTTCTCTTTCATTTTTTTTCTTTTTTTTGTTAACCAGCAACCTCTATAATTCTGGTGACCTTCAACAATCGCTGCTGATGAGAGAGGTCGTTTGCTGGAGAATAAGGCTCAGAGGAGGAGGAAGTTCGGCCTACGACGACCTACGATGGGGAAGGAGATAATCTCAATCAAATATAGGGAAGTAGAAAGAGATCGATCGACATAAACTGAGAGCGGAGCGAGAGTGAGAAAGACGATTTAATTAACAATTAATTTTAAGAATCCATTAATTAATTTATTTGGTCAAATAATTTAATTTCTTCAAATCTATTTATAAAATTAATAAATTTCTTAAATCATTGAATTGAATTATTATACAAATTTATAAAGTGAGTAATTTCAAATGTTTTGAAATAAAATGTCGTTTATCTAAACAATAATAACAAAATTTGGTTAATTTAAATCAAATCATAAACTATATTAAATCAATCATAATTGAACTAAATAAATAAATTTTGAAACAGTTCGGTCAAATTCAAATTCAAAATGATTAACAAATAATCTAGAGATTAAATATTTTTTTAATTAAAATTTTGAAAATTGGAAGGAGGGAAATGGAATCTCAATGTCTCCTCAATCTCCTTAATTTTAGTCATGAATGTTGTTGGTATTCAAATTTGCAATTTAATCCAAATTTATTTCCTTAATTGATTTTTATTTCATCCTCAAAAGTAAGTATTTGAACTAATCATTTGAAATATGAAATAAATCTCTCATTTAATCTCTCGTAGTTTTAATTTATTGGGATTTATGCCCTAAAACCTCATAATTTATTAATAAAATGATTTGATTATTTTTATGTGCAACTTATATTATTCATTTTATGAAAATCTAAGGTTACTAGTGTAAACTTGAACAATATGTAATTGACATGCAGATGATTGTGTTAAAGTAGTAACGTAAAAAATCTAGAGTATACGGTAGGGTTGGATGTCTTATCTTGGTAAAACTGTTGATACAACCTACTTTGCAAAAGTTACAAATGATTTAATCTTAATCATTCATGTGGAAACATGTGAGTGGGGGTATCATAGATAATGAGTTTGTATAAAACTGAGCCACGATGTATCTTGTATTTTCTTATTTGACTGTTATAGAAATTGCAAACACACTAGGATGATTATATGCTCGTTTAATCTTAATCTTGAGTGTGTTGTGAACTCCTGCCTATGCGAGTGTATTATTCTTTGATTTACATGGATGAGAGTAACTAGAGTGTTCGTCTAATAAGTGCTTACTATTTTGGGAACATATTCAATTGGAGAGTTGGGAACATTTCTACACAAAATAAAATTTAGAGCCACTCAATATTGGAAAATGCAAAGTGTGTACTTCTCCTTATTGAGTGAGTATATAAGTGATTCTCTTATTGTGCTGGTACGGGCTTGGATAACAGGGTATCTTCCTTCTTGATATCCCAAGAAGAACAAACCCATGATGAGATCATGGAAGGCTATTAATCAGAGAACCAATGAAACTTAAGTAGTGAGAGATGAGACCAAGAGCAAAACGGTAATTTCGTCAAACTAGGACCARGAATCACTTTGTGAAGGATAAGATGAGCGGTTATGATTATATCCGTAGATATAACTCATATGCAGTGCATGAGAGTGCTGTAGGATCGATATGGCAACACTAGAGGGGGGTGAATARGGTTGCTTACGAAAAATAAAATTAAGAATAATAAAAAATCAAATGAAATTTAAATGTGTATATTAAAAGAGTAGGAGAAAGAAATGACACTAGGAATTTTTATAGTGTTTTGGAAATCCCTACTCCATTCCCCAAAACTTCTTTTTGGGTATTTTACTGTGCCGGCTCTTTTACGGATGAGAATCAAATCGATCGACCATCTTTTTGTCCTAGGCTAAAAAGAAACCCACGATCTTTTTAACTGGTTCAGGATTTAACCAATTGTGTTTTCTCACAACTCAAGGTGTACCCACACCTTAATACAAAACCCAAAATGTAAAATAAGCAATTCAAATTAAGTACCTCACTAAGGTAGATTTACAAATTCCGCACTAAAGCAATAACTAAAAAACTACACTCTAATGTATCTCTCATAAAAAAATATGGATAAATTTTTGTGTGGAGAGAATGAGAAGTTTTAGGCAAAATAATTTGAAGAGAGAAAGATGTTTGCTTAGATAATTGATGTGTAGAGAATGATGAATTTAGTGGTTTTAAATAGAATTTTGTGGATAAAATTTGGCCATTGGATTTAGGGCAACAAAAGTTGAACGGTGTAGATTTAGGTGAATGATAAGGTAAAAGAATAAAAGAAATTTATGGAGATTTAGAAATTATGGAGATTGGGAGTGATTTAGGAGATTGAGAGTGATTGAAGAGATTGAAAGAAATTTGTGGAAATGGATTTGTAGAGATTGAAAGCGCCACATCGTCTTCTACTTTGTTTAATTGTTGGATGCCACGTCAACATAAGTATGTCATCTTAATGCCACATTTCAACTTCTGAGTGGTCCAGTTGTCCATGTCACCTGCCATGTATGATTTTTCTCCATGTCACCCGCCACATAAGAAAAAATAGGAGGAGAAAAAGGGGGACGAGATGGAAGAGAAACAAAAAGATAAGAGAGAGAGGACGAAGAGAGAAAATGCAGTGTTTCAAATAAGGGAGGGAAATCTAAAAAATTAGTAGAGGGGCATTAAGGGTCATTTGATATTCACGGTGATGTCAGCAAAGATTAGAAAGTATGAATTTTGAAAAAAGGTGAGTAAAAATCAATATTGTGTTGGAAAAATGATTATTCAACCCAAAAATCCATAAATTTTTAGTATAAGAAATTCATGGGAAATTGACGGATATGACTTGAAAAAGTTTTCAGTGCTTAAATGACATACTTTTTGAAACATGTTTTTTYACGAGGAAATTGACCAATATAACCTTAAAAAAATTAGGTTTTGCTCAAATGACCCAAAATTTTAATACTCACTATTTTGACCCAATTTATTATTTTTAATAAAATATAGTGCATTTAAAAATTTACTCACAAATTTACTCACAGTAACCGTTGGGAGATCTTTTCCCCTGCTTCTTCCTTATTCTTGGTTCAACTTGGTCAAGATTTTGAGAATTTCAATTGTTTTCTTTCTTCCTCTTCCTATCTGAACTTGGTGTGTGTGATTTGAACATCAGATTTCTGAAACTCATATAAAATTTGAATTTCAAAATGGAAAGTTAGTATTCTATCTCACATTTTTTAGTCGCTTTTCCCCCTAGAACTTTCAGTTTTTTTATAATATACAGGGTTAGTTTATGACTGTTGGGATGAGGTTGTTTCTGACTTTTGTGATTTTATGTTGAGTAGCAAATGGGTTGTGTTCGACGATTTCTTACTCTTTCAGTTCTTATAAGGTGTTAAAAGAAATATGAAGAGTAGTTTGTGGATTTGAAATGAGAAGTGAAAATCTAGGTTTTC